ACAAATCGCGCTCATTGAATTGGCGAATCACTACGAGCGCTGCTTGCTTTTTTTGCCGGTTGTGAACTTTCTTATTTTTTCGTTTTTGATCCTTTTGGTGTCGGTTGCTTGCCGGTATAAAAGCTTGCGCGCCAAAAAGTTGTTTACCATTGCGGCATTAGCCGCTTGGGCGGTCGTTCGCAGGTTGGCGTTGTGGATTGAGATTGGACGCAATCGACAACTGCCACAACGCCAACGGGATGTCCTACAAGGGCATCTTAGTGTGAGCGTTTTGCATGTGTACGTGTTTAAATTCGTATGCTTGGCATGTGTTTATATATATATATATATATCGATAAACAACGATTTTTGCATTTATTTTAATTTTTATATAGGCACATACATACATATGTATATATCTATAAGACGAGACCTTAGTTCTTGGAATTCTTCAAAATGCTGTTCGGTAACTGCAAACTACATACATGTCTGCATACATATAGTACATACACAGATGTGTGGACATATATACATCACATTGTATACATATTAAAGAATCATAAACATATGTATGTACATATGTTAGGCTATGTAGTGATGGCTACCCATCTAGCGTGTCATATTCACCTAGACCTAACTAAGACCCAATGTGATGCCACAAAAACTTGACTATCAGGCTTCATTATCCAGCCATTTTGAGTCACTAATGAACTTCATTGGATCCATGGCTCTGCCGTCAGTTATCTTCGATAGACCATCCAGTAGCTGAGTCCGAAAATTCTGAAACCCAGCCCTACTCAAATTAGGACAGTCGCATAAGAAATGGGTAATCCTTACCTCATCCTCATCCTTGTTGCAGCTTCTGCAGCCTCTTCTATATGAAGCCCCTTGTCTTTGCAGTAGGTTGTAGTATGTTGTTGTTGTTGTTGTTGTTGTTGTTGTTGATGCTGATAAAGATGATTAAGACGATGTTGTCGTTGTTGTTGTTGTGTTTGTTGTAAGTATCCCCACTTAGGGACAGACTATTTAATCTAAATCACTGAGGTCATCTAACGGGAGCAGATTGTATTGTAGTATAATACTTCCAACTTGTTGCGGCTTGTTCATATGTAAATTCTTTGAGAAGCATTTTGCAAGTAGCAAAAGACAAACCAATGAATTCTTAACCGAGAAGAAGAACTGCTTGTCGTACCTTACCTAGCGATTTTATCCGCCTTACAGTTTCCTTCGATGTCCCTGTGTCCAGGAACCCACGTGAGAGACAGAGTCTATTCTGTTTGGCCATTTCCTGTAGAGATCGGCGACAGTCCAGCAATAATATACATACATATACATATACATATATGTATGTAAATATGTATTATACATTCCAATATTCGTAAAATGTCAAGCACACCTTCCTGAAAGCCTTTCATTTTCCGATCAGAAACACACTCCGATACACTCGCACTCCCTGCCGGCGGACAATCGTCTGAGTTCTTGGATGCGTTTCACGGTGAAAAATAGACTTCCACCTATGTGAACCGCTTCCGGTTCGTTATATAACAGTCATAATTTGTTAGAAATATTTACACACAAAAATACATACATATGTTGTTACCTAAATACTTATTTACATATGTACATATCTACATATGTCACTATGTCTATGGCAATCCTAACTTCCCGACCCCTTGCCGGTTAGCCTATGCAAAAAATTCTACGAACTAAATCCTGCAACGGTACGACAAAATTCCAAAGACTCAAAAAATCACACTGAATACACATAACGTGCGTATGTATGTATGTATGTATGTATGTACATATATATAATATAACCGTCGATGTTGGCGGCCGGCAATAAAGTGATTTTAATCATATTGGATTTTTGTTGTTTTCATCATTATTAACATCCTCGTTTCGTTTGTTCAGTTTGTATTTATGTGCATATATATGTACATATGTATGTATATATTTATGTATGTATGTATGTACGTAGTTGGAGCTATTTGTGTTATCGTTATGAGGATAAAATTATACAACCAATATACCTATATACATATGTACATACATATCATATATGCATACTTATGTACATGTATACTAGTATATACATTCTTACATATGTGCTTATGTATGTACATGTGTGTACATATATGCAGGTTCGCGGTTGTGTTGGAGCTGTCAGGGTACCTGTTGCCACATTTTTAACACACATTCACACTCATTTACAGGTACAACAGGAGGTACATATATATGAGCATACATACATGCTTACATACGTACATTTATTTATATACAACTGCACAGGTATTTGTATATATTTATGTATGTACATACATATGTAGGTACGAGCGCCTTCAGAAGCGTTGCAAGAGCCAAAGGTAGCAGCGCCGACAACTGACCCCACCTAAATCTACAAGTATGTACCTATCTATTTATGTGTGCATGTATGTATGTAAGAATTTTTAGAAAAGCTGAAGAAGCCCGTGTAAATGTATTGATGCAACATTGAAAGGGAATGAGGTGCTAGATATAGAGATACCGAAGTGTCTTCAACAATGCTTCGATGCCATTCGATGTACAAATGTACACCTACATACATAAATACATACATATGTATGTACTCACAACGGCATGAGTCTCGTTAAACAAATCCCAAATCAGCTGAATGGCTCAAACACAACACCAACAACGTCAAATTGTTGTTCCACAAACGTAACGTACTTTTTATCAGCAACAACAATAAAAAGCTAAGTAATATTCTCAAACTGCAATTCATTTACTTACATACGTATATACAAACATATATCCATGCATGCAAACAAGCATACACACACTTGCACATACATATGGACATACGTACATATATGCCTGGACAAAATCTCTGCCTCACTCAATATCTTGCATACACAAACAAACAACATTCTTTTGGGACTCATTCCCCCTTTTTCGGTGCAGCACCGTCACCAACAAACGTATGTGCCAAGCAGAGCAGCGCTACGCTCCTGCTAGCAGCAGAAGGAGAAGAAGAAATTATGGAGTATGGCAAAGAGCAAATATTGTACCGGCTGATTTTTCGGTTTGGTTGAGTATGGAAAAGAGCAAACAATAACAAATCATATGGTCAGGAACAAAAGTCAACGGTTGCCATGTCACATAATTGTTTCACAAAAAAGTTCGATGAGAAATTACCACATTTCATTGTATACAAATTAAATAATTTCAAGTGTTAGCCAATCTGACGGCAGCTTCTGCCAAATGTTTAAACCTTTTTTCAGAAATTGCTACTCCTATTGTTACTTATTTACTAAGATGTTTGAAAACAGATTTCTTAGAATCAAAATTAGAAATATTATTTAGATATCACGATAAGCCTTTGGAAGTATGAGTCCGTCGGCATAATTTAGTAGATAAGAGATCAAAAATAGGCTATGATTTTGAAATTTACTAATACTTAACAAAGTGTGGCCTTTTTAGTGACGAGCTAAAGAATATGTTTTAAATAAGAATAACACCATGACAATATCTTTTCCCTACTCAGTTTCAAATTACATATATAAATAATACAGGAACATATGTTAATAAAGAAAATAATGAAATAAGATCATTTATAACAAATTTTTTATTTCTTCTTTTTTTTAACTAGAGTTGTTCTGTAAAGCGAATATTGAGGAGCTTTAATATATAATAGTATAGGACGATGAAGAAGATACATGACGAAAACTAGAAATTTTAGATAATTTATCTGTAACAGCGATCTGTAACTTTCTTGTAGGCGCAATAGCCGAGTGGAAGCCGAGTATTTTTTCTAGTTGTAGTCTTCTCTCAGCAGGGACTGTCAAATCATCTGACTGTATTTTCGATATGAAATAAAGAGCTCCAAAAAAAATCATTCGGCCGTAGGAGGTGGCTTAGAATAAGCTATATGTCCCTTCTATTTGTTTGGGGATGTCTACGCCAGTAAAGAAAAAGAAGAGGTTATATGTATGTAAGGTTCACTCTAAGACTCGTTTGAAAATTTGTAAATCTTTTTAATGAAAGGATTAATCAACATACCAACTCTTTCAATTCAATATGAATGACAAGATCGGAAAAGAAGTAGGATTTTAAACTGTAGTGGCTTGCACACAGGATTTTGTTTTATTACTCTGAATTTAAGAAAACTAAAAAAATGGTGGTATTTTTACTTTAATTGAATTTTTGGCAACCCTTTGCGGGATCGTATGTCGAAGCAGCAGAATCAACATCGCTATTGTTGTTTGTTTATTTTTTGGCCATTTCATTGCCGAGAGCGCGCTAACTATACGTTCTTGTTGTTTCCATAGTCATGCCTAACAACACTCGCCCATATGATCAGCGAAGGATTGCATAGCCAGCAATATGATTGTTGTTGTGAACGTTAAAGTCGACGTAGTTTTTGGTCACTCCGCTGCCGTTGTTCAGACTCAATTATGTTTGTTGTTATCACTGCTGGTGAGCAAAGAAGTAGAATATGTAAACACTAAATGGAGGTAAGAAAGAGATCACAGCTGAGTTTAGCAGCGCTGGCAGCGCAGGCAGAGTAAGAAGAAGATTATGAGAAATCGCGGCTCAGCTGATGGCTAGCAAGGATTGTGTGAAAGGAAGACGAAAATTTGTGGTACGTGAAAAAGTGTTAAAGAAAAGCGACAAACAATTAGCAACAACAAGACACACAATGATTTGTTGTTACCAACCGGCGAAACAGCTGTAATGTGAAGCAGCGCTGGCAATTTTATGCAAAAATGTATGTATGAGAGATCAAATGCATGTGTGTGTGTGTGTTGAATTAAATGTACAAAACCGAAGAGGTGTCAGAATGATGTGAAGTTAGAGCAAGCAAAAATTTGTAAGCCGCCATTTCGCTGACACGAAGAATCGAGGAAAAAAGTGGACAAACACCAAAAGCGTAAAGAACTTTACTACCTTGGAACGTTGCTTAAAATTCAAAATCAATTTTGTTTGATCAACAATTTACATCTATTTCATTTCAACGCACGGCATAATAAACACAGTGAGTTAATTGTAGCACTTGTAGTATCGTCTTTTCCCAGAATATCCTTATTTTTGTTGCTGCATGTTTCTTTTTGTCTTAACATTTTTCACATACCAAATCAGTGCATCCTTGTTACACTGCATTTGGCTGCATCTGATATGGTGTCAATCGTTGCGAGTCACTCGATCAGCTGACTAGGCCCACTCAGGACAGGACGATTGTAAGATCTGAACGAATATTTGATATTTAATGTGTGTAGCTAGAGTGAGAGGAATATTGATATTTAAGTACAAAAGTGCATTCATCCATCTAAATGACTGCAAGGCCACAAGGAGGTATAAGTTGCAAGAAGATATCTGGCTGGGTACCTTGGCGCCATATGCGATGCTGGCATAAGAAATCAAAGCATCCTTTTCGCCTTTCGCGCAATTTTCATCACTTTCCTCTGAGTTGCTTGCCATTTCCACTTGTTCGCACCTATTCGGTGGTGTTTCTCTTTCATTTCCGCTCATTGCTGTTGCACTCGTCGCTCCATTGCAGATCTTGAGTATTTGAGTGTATTTCGGTATACTGCTCTCTTCAGAGACCTACCACTTTTTTTATTGCCGGCGAATTGTTATTGTAACCTTGTCGTTCTTTGTTTTCGCGCTCTTCTTCTCGTTTAAGAAGCATTACATTGTTGGTGCACTAGTAGCAGCGGTGCATTTCCCCCTCTTCGGTGAGCAGCGAAATTGAGTGGTTAATGTAGAATAGAGCGCGCGTAAAATTTGGTATAAAAGCGGCCACGGAGTGCTGAGCGAGTTAGTTCGAGTTTTTGCTTTGTGGTTTTCGTGTAAATTCACAAGTTCGCTTAGTGCGCTTGGCCGTCCGCCTGATCACAAAAATAAATAAATATACATCGGTTGATCATTTCTACTAGTGGTTTTATATACATAACAAAAAGAACAAATGCAAGAATATTTGGAAAACAAGAGCAATAAACAACAAAAACGATACGGGACTAAAAGCAATATTGGATTAAATATTAATCGAAAAATGCTAGAAAGTATATGTGTGTTATCAATAAGTACTTAAAAGTGAACTATTTCGAATAGAAAAAAGTTAAGACAAAAGTGACGGACATTTTTTTTTGTTAACAAAAAGGTACCAAGAATTTGAATTCTTTTTACTAAAGAAGTGCAAAAATTATAAAACCCATTGGCCGGAATAAAAGACTGCAATAAAAAGCTAAGCGAGGAAATCAGCGAAGCCAAGTAAAATAAAGAAAATGCAGCAACAATTTTAAAATTCTAACGCAAAAATCGACAACTCTAAATGTGAGTGAAGCAGCTTAAGCTTAACGAAGGAGCTTAAAGCAAATAAGTTCAGCTACCGGACAAGAAGTTGTATAAAAGCAATTTTCTCGAGCTCTATACCTTTAAGCAATAAGTAGAATTAACGCCCGACATTAAGGTGTCGAAAATTTTAGAAACTTAATTAAGTACAAACTCATCAGAAAACAACGCTACAAAATGTTTTGGGATACAATTTCCGAAGAAACCAATGGAGATATCGGCATGGAATATTCAAGGTAAATATAAAATTTACGAAATTAACAGACGTGGTGTGAGTGTAGACCAAAAGGCAGCTTTAAAATAGCGAGTTCAAAAATACGAGTACTTGTTCGTTTTTCGCACACATTTTTTTTTATGGGTAAAGTGATTAAATGGTTTGAAATAAAAGTTTTCAAGCATTGCTCGAGCGCACAGCAAATTGTAAATGAAAACTGGAATTTTTCATCGAAAGAACTAAAAAGTGTTAGAAAAAAGCTTTCGGTGGACATTTAACTAAATTAAATGTGTCCCAATTTTAAATTTACTAATTAGAAACTGTTTTCAGAAAATTATTAAAATTTTATACTCAATGCTTTATTTCATCATCTTTTTAACCATCCATACGTTTTTATACACATAAAACTTACAACAAATCCGTTTACCCACATTTAGAAAAAAATGCCCTGCCACTGTTTTTCACGCTGAGCGTTGCCACTCTCCCACTTGCAATCTCTAACGTCGTGCGAGCTCCAACTCGCTAGTAGCATGAGTAGCGGCAACCAGACAGCCAATGCTGAACTTGAACTCCATTTCAACGGTTTCGTTGTGTTTTTATACTTTCGCGTGTTTACCTTTTTACATGCGACGCAGAGTACAATCACCACTGTCCGTGAGTTTACTCCACCGGCTAACCGGCCGGTCGATGATGGTTCTCCCCATTAATAAGCTTAAGAAAAAGTGAGAGTTGTTTAATATATGTGTGTATGTTTTTCTGTTGCTTTTTATATCATTTTTCCTTAACTGTATTTGTTCTCTTTATTTTATCCATCGCGGAGTTGTTTAAAGTAATTTTTTCTTTTTATTTAACATTTTCGCTTTTGTTTGGTTTTAAGCTCGCACGTACAAGTCCTCACACACATTAGGGCACAGTAGCGCATTCGTCATTTCCGTATCAGAAGCACAACGTTCTGTGGCTTCATACTTTCTTGTTCTTTACCATTTTGTGGAGCATGGTGATTTGGGGCATGACCACAGCTGCATGTAGTGGCACACTACAAAGTTCACACATGCATTAATACTTTTCTGAGCGTTGGAGGTGTAACTACTTCCCTTCACCTCAGAGCGCGCCGCTTATCTTGCTGGCTTGTGGTTTTCTGTTTTACTTTGTGCACCTACTTTTCGCGTGACTGCACCTTTCCTAGCGTCTTTTTTTTTGCGTCTACTACTTCCTTATTGAGTTAACGACCTGGCCTAATAATATTTCCGTTTTCATGTATTTTCCTGCACAGTAATTTTTCTTGTATTTGTTATTTATTTAATTTTACTCCATGTTTGTTTGTGTGTTTTCGACTAAAGTTAAAGTGGGAAGTGAACGCAAAATGTATTTCCGTTCTGTCCCTCCGTATTTAAGTCGTGCTTGTAGCGTGACTTTAGTTTTTCTTCTCAACTTGTTTCAAACTCTGAGGGAATTACTTGCATTTCGGTGGTGCCTGCACACCGTGTACTTATTTCCGCGTTCTTGCGGGTCAGTCAGTCAGTCAGTCTTCGAGTCGGTGGAATAAGTCAAGCAGTCAACAAAGTCAACAATTTTTTCTTTCTTTTTGTCTAACTATTATGTCAATGGCCAGCCAGCCGGCACTGCACAGTGCTGTAACATCTGCGACTCGCTGTACTTGGTAAATGTCCAATTGTTCAGGCGCTGATGGTCTCTAATTCTTAGCTGTTGTCGTCGTTGCTGTCGCTGCTTGTACATTGAATTCCATTCACAGCAACCTTACAAACGTGTAAGAAGTATATTTTCTGTTTATTCTTGTAAGCACACTGAGTATGGTCGCCCTCTACGTCTGCGCTCGGTCTTCCTCCACTTGGCCGATCAATATCGGTCATATTTATATGTATATGCATGTATGAGTTTATTCATGTGGCTCGAGCTCGAGCTCGAGCTACGGCACTGTTATGCTCGTCTAGCTCGGAGGGTACAGTACCCCAGCGGCAATGCGGTGTAATATGTCATGCGCTACTTGGCTGGCTCTTGCCATTATTGTTGTTGTTTGAAACAACCCTCACTTGATGCATACGTGTACATACATATGTTGTTATAAAAGAGAGTTTGTATAATTTTGATCGCTTGTGGGTCGATTTTCCCCTATGTGTATACACTACCAACACCATCACCACCACAACCAAGAGCACTGTCGCCGCCATCAGCACCAGCGCTCTAGGAATATCGGCAATACCAACAAATTTTAAGCGTCTTCCACGCTATCATCCTACTATTTGTGATACCATAAATAAATACATTTACAATTGTGCCGATATGCTGCTTGTATCAGCGCATGCACATGGTTCGTACTTGTTCAAGTTGAATGAACCCATCGCCTGCACATGCATGCATTTGCCCATACACACACATACACACCTACTTCGTCCATCAGCTGCCTACATACGCCTGCGCTCAGCACACCAGCGTTCAGTACCAGTTTGATTCAGTTCTATTTTGTGTGTCCTTTACATTGGTACGGTTTCTATTTGTTCGCAAGGATGGCGCCTCTTGTGTGGCTATTCAGCTACAGTTCTACCACTAGTGATACCGGTGCTCCGGTTGTTGTGAATAACAACTACTTTTTGATTTGCTTGTAAATACCTGCCGATTTGTTTTGTTTATGAGTTTCAACACTTTCAGTACTATTTTTATTATGAATATTTCTTTGCATATCTTTAACATCGAATTTTTTCTTCTCCTGTTTCAGTTGTCAAATGCCGCAAGATTTAAATACACTCGCAGCCGCTGTCAGTGCCAGCAGCCCCAGCGCTGGCCGTCAATGCCACCAACTCAACGCATTGAATCGATCTTTGAAGGACATGGCTGTCGATAATGGTATGTCTTTTTATGAGGACGACGAAAATCTACATATCTTGCGTTCAAATTCGGTGGAAATGCCGCGTTTGCTGTCACCGGAGGGATCGCCATGCCGTTTCCAAATTTTGCCCAAACAAAAAAGTCCTGATGCCCATAACAACAGTGATTTGCAGCGACCTCTGCGTCAATCGTACACATCACGCCTACAGAAGCTACAACACAACAGCGCTCAGAGCAGCAGTACAACAGCAAGAACACAGCAGACCACATCACCAAGAAACTTGCGTATTTTTCACAGCCTCTCATCCGGTTCGATGTGCTCATCGTCGATGGATGATGAATACATGGATCTCTTCGAAATGGAATCTTTTGAGAACTCAATTATGCCAGCAAATACCGCCATGCCGAAAGTGCCAAGTCATCTGGATTCATTGTTTGTCGGTCAAATAAAAAATATAAATTCACCCGCCCATCGTCCACTTCAGCAGCCAAATTTTATGGATGAAATGAGAACACCTGAGATGCGTCGCCCACCAGTGCGTCGTTGCTTGAGCATGACTGATAACTGCCTGCCATCGCCCAGAACACCGGAGACGGTGCTCAAGCAAGTGCAAGAAGTAGCTGTCAGTCCGTATGGGCTCAAATTGCTGACAACGGAACGTAATAATAGTAACATTAACTATTGCTTCAAGCGTCCCGATCCGCCATCTATGAATAATTCACCTTTGCAAATCAAACGTTATCGCATTGAGGCTGAAAAGGAGAATCTTAATGACTCTTTAACCGCTCTCTTACCAACACTGCCCGCGCCACAACCCAAACCAAGTCATCCACCGCCATTGCGCAAGTGCATGTCGATGAATGATGCCGAAATAATGTCGGCGCTAGCACGTTCCGAGGACAAAGATGAGCCTGTGCTCATCGGTGATTTCAGCAAGCCATATGTGCTGCCATTGATGGAAGGACGTCATCGTGATCTGAAATCAATCTCTTGCGAGACAATGGCACGTTTGCTACGTGGCGATTTTAATGATGTTGTCGCCAACTATCGCATCATTGACTGTCGCTATCCATACGAATACGAGGGCGGACACATACGCGGCGCTCAAAATCTATACACACATGAGCAGATACTCGAAGAATTCAAAACGCAACAAAAGACTGAAATGGATCAATGCAATGCAGCAACTGATAACCGACGCAACATACTCATTTTCCATTGTGAATTTTCTTCAGAGCGCGGACCAAAATTATCACGATTTTTACGCAGCACCGACCGTGAACGCAACACCAATTGCTATCCCTCGCTCGACTATCCCGAAATCTATTTGCTGCATAACGGCTACAAAGAATTCTTTGAAAATCATTCAGAGCTCTGTGATCCCATTGACTACCGGCCAATGTTGGAACCTGCATACAATAGCGCATACCGTCACTTTCGCGCCAAGACAAAGTCATGGACGGGCGATAATGGTTTGGGCGGTACAACAGGACGTCTAAAGAAGTCCCGTTCACGGCTAATGCTGTAAGTGCTGTGTGTTGTGGTACGTTACAGCAGTAGCTTAAGCAGAAATTGGAATGTAGAAGAAGCACTTGAGTCAGATACCGACAATACATTGGTTAAAAACCAAACGCATTGTTGTAAATTGGTCGCCGCATCGTCTGTTACTGCGCAGCAAGTGGACGTGACAGCGCGAGTGTGACGTGAGAAGAATAGGGTTGGGAGAGCAGGAAAAATTCATGAAAGCAGTACAAATTTAAAAGAATAGAAAAAACAAGCCCAGCTTTAACTAACGCGAATCCAAAATATGAAAGTTCAAATTTAGTAATCCACTATATTTGAGATTGGCACCCCAGCGCCAATTCGCATTAGGATTTAGGCGCAGTAGCATATATATATATATATATACACACACACACGCACACTTCATATTACACGAATGCAATTACTTGCAATTGTCAACATATTCACCACACCTACTCCTACATATGTAAACATATCACCATATCACCACAGTCCAATCATTCATACACCTTGTTGTTGTTGAAACTTTTATTCGATGTTTTAAGTCCAATTCGGATTTTATTTTTATAGAAATATTTTTTAAAGTATTGAAATGAATTGAAAAAAAAAAATAATAATAATATTTCACCAAACTACACGTGTGTGCATCATCGACTGCACGCCAGTGTTCATGCGTGAGTGTGCGTGTATGTGCGTACATAATGTACATATACATATATGTATGTGAATAAGTACAATATTTAAGAGAATGAAAGACACGATTTTCTCAAGTCTAAGTCACCGGGCGAAGAGCACCTTAGCAATGCAGATTTAAATGCAGTCCAGTGCGTGCATGTGTGCACGTGTGCACGAGTTTGCGTTTGTGCCACCAATATGTAAATATGTCTTAAAAGTATGTCTGTTTGTATGGTATAAAAAAAGGTTTGCGAGAAAACTTAAAAAAAAAGTTTATATATATATATATTTAATTTATTTGCTATGATAGCTTTAGTTAGCATAATTTAATAATTTAATTGCTGTTGAATGTTTGGAGTGGCGGCGCAAACAAACACACATACGCACACGAGCACGTACGCAGACAGTTATGTATATAAAAGCATGCTCACGCACAATGTAAATTATTTGCATCTTTAATTGATTTTTAGTTACAAAAGTATAAAGTAAAAAATGTATAAAACAAAAAAAAAACAAAAAGACATACAAATCTAATATATGTATTTGTTAGTGAAATTGATGTACATATGTATACATGTGTAAAAAAAAATAATAATTAATATTTGTCTGTAAAAAATAAATTTGGCAAATGTTGATTGTAGTAAATGCCTGCATTGGTATAGCTTAAAAAAAAACTGAAATTCAAAATTTGTGCATTATTATGTAATATTTGAATATGTATAATAACGAAAATGTAGCTTCCCTTAATGCAAAAAGCAAGAGAGATAAATGAAAATACCATTGAAGCTTTTGTCATTATTCTACTTGCATATATGTACATATATATATATATTCGTTTATACATATCCTTTGTTTATTTTCGGCTCATATTTGTTTTGAAAGGCACTTAGAAAATTGAAGATTCATATTTAATGTTAACAAAGAACACACACATACATATATACAAATTTAAGAAAATAAAATTGAAATGTAACAATGCATATGCATATGTATTATATACTAAGGAAAATGCATATACTATATATGTTCATATGTACGCACAAAAACATGCTCGCTAACATGAGCACAATATTTGTATGCACACACCCACATGCACAGAACACACATACAAAATGTAAGGCTGCAATGCATGCGCCAGCTGCTGCCCATCAGTCAGCCAACCAACCAGCCAGCCAGCCGGTCGGGCAGCCACCACTTTGGTATGCACCGCATTGCAGTCAAACAAATTCAACGTAAAGTTAAAAACAATTACGCTTATTTTATGTTATAAGAACCCCTTTTTTATTTTTAAAGCATAGCTTTCTTTTTCATACAAAAAAAAAAAAACAAAAAAAAATTACAAAAAAATTACAAAAATGAAAAATGCAATACAAAAATATATATAAATGTAATAAAACAAGAAATATATAAAGAGTTTATAAACAAAACAAAAAAAGAAAAACATGGCTTTAATTCTACCAAAAAAAAAAAAAAAACATTTGAAAAAATCGACTTAAAAATTTCCACTTTGAGCAGCAAGCAAAAGAGTTTATGCACTTTTGGGGCTTGAAATAAGCGTGATTGTGCCATGTCGATGACGATTTCCGAAACGGAAGTGAATAAAATATGAAGTAAGAAAGAAATGTATGAAGTACGCATGATAAAATTCAAGCGAAAGGAAAATGCAACTTGCAATTTTTTTCTAAAAAAACATATAAAAAAAAATTAAAAAAAAAATACATACATACATATTTCGTATTACACCAATTTGCGCTCAAAATTTCTGTCATAAGTTTGAAAATTCAAACAATTATTTTTTTTTAACATTTTTTTTATTACACTCTTATTACCTATTGTACTTTTTGTTGTTATCCGTACACATACACACATACATACAAATTTTTAATCCTCTTGAGTTGTACTTTTTTTTGCGTTAACTTAAAAATTTTAACTGTGATTATATTTTAATTGTTATTAATGCTGCTTTTTGTTCTTTTGTCCGTTTTTTTTTTTTTGTAAGTAACTTTCCTTTGTAAGTACACGTATGTATATTTTCCACACGAATAATTCAAAAGAAAAAGTAATGTAATAAATACAATAAAAACATAAAGAATGTATATTTTTGTAAATTCATATAATTTCTAATTTATCATCATATTTGGCATAAATATGCTTAGTGTGTTCATAGTTATAATGTATTTTAATAATTCGTGACATAAGTAATATGCAAACATTTAAGTTCGCAACACATATTTATAAATGTGTATACCCAAAATTTGGGTTTAAAATAAAAAAAAAATGAATCACTTGAGCTTTTATAATTTTATTTTTATATAAAATATGGGTTGGGCCATCAGAGATGGGGGGTTTTTAAAATGGGTATATGAGGAATATGGGTGACATATCACCTAGTGACCAAATGAAGTCGACTGTTCTTGAGATGTAGAAATTCTTTTTCTATACTGGCGTAGACACCAAATACGCTAATTTAGCCAAGATGGCAACAGTGCAGCAATTGGAAACATCAATTACAGCTGTACCCTTCTGCTCATGGTTTTTCCAAGGATGTGCTGGCTTTCCTCTTCTGCTCTTGCCGACGAGTATTGCATCGAAGCTTTTCAAAAGTGGAGTATTCTTATCCATTCACGAGCGACTTATAGTGTTTGGTCTTTGTTTAAATGGTCGGAGCGTTTCCATATGATATTTCAATTTTAGAATTTGATGTCTAATCCACGAGTCTATGGTAGTTGTTGTTGGTTCGCTGGTAGTTGGTGCAGTACGCTACAACCTATTCAGAAGAAAGGAGTTAGTCGATGTTAGCGATGTTGCCTAAAAGTATGCAAAGTTGGCCTAGGTCGCCGAGATATTCTGAGTGGGAGTCCAGGAAAGGAGCTGTTTCGATGAACACAGACGGAGAGAATGTGTATGTGAGAAAGAGGGAAGTTAGAGTTGAGTCTACCACAGCACTAGACTTAATAATTGCAACACTGACTGGATCTAGAGAGACAGCTCAAAGCTCTTCGTCTACTGTGGGTTTTATTTAATTAACGATAAGAGGATATATGAAAACTTCGACGGGTTCTTTGACCTTGGTGGTGGTTCATCTTATAGAACATTTCTGCCAGGATGATCCTTACAGTAGCATCCAAGCGGAAATTGCTTGGACAACTTAACATTATGCTCTTTAATTGGAAGATACCCCAGCCTTCAAGCCGATTGCCTTGTAAGCTATGAACGACGGTTTCTATCTTTTCCTCAGATTCTGTCAGCTAGCGATATAAGGGCTTTGTATATTGTAGCTGTAACTGTCGTACAATGAAGAAGTGGGAATTATCGGCGAGATTGAAGTCGTACGTTAATATCGAACAGTCATCAGCATATGAGAACAGGGAAAAAGCCGCCCGTGGTGAAGCGAGCTTAGAAATATCAAGATGAAAGTCAGTAGCACGGAGAAGTCATCACCCTATGGAACCCCGTGCTTAATTAATGTTTAACGGTGACCATCGGCCATTCATGGTCCACGTCCTCAAACACGCCGGTAATGAAGGTCCCTGGTCCTAAAAACAAACAAATTTAATAACCCCCCTATCTCCTTAGTCCGAACCCGAGAGCGGGGCTAGAGAGCCACTATAACAACAGGATCCCTCAATAACCGAAAGTTTTTGACATATCCAAATAGATTATCTGAATGTTTATAGCGCAAAGTTTGAGCGCGATCTGCCTTTAGTGCGCTTCCATGTAGTCGACCTGACCCAAACGGAGTACCACGTGCCAAACCTCCAAAGATGTTACAGAAGGCTTCCGATGAATCGACTCTGTCACGAACTCGTACTTATTAGTGGTATAGAGCAGTCAAAAAAGAAATGCGCTGCCGCTCGAGTAGCACTAAAAAATCGGAATTTTTTTTTTGAAAAACTCAGCTGTGTAAGGTACGTAAAGTTCCACTAATACCAGAGAACATCCACATTCATCTATATATATATATTATATATGACTCGGGTAAATTTTTTTCTCTTTCCAAAACTCAAAATACCACGTTGAGACACCCGTTTTCAGTTGATAGACGTCATCAACAACATGAAGCTGATGCCTGAAACAGCCTTTAAACAATATTTTGATGATTGATTTATTCCTTGGCTTAAATGTACTATTTCGGAAAGGGTCTTACCTCGAAGGCGATACAATAAATTTGAAGGAATATTAAATATTTCGTGTTTTATTGACAAATTCCTGCTACTTTCCTAACAAATCTTTTAACAAACACTAAGTAAAAAACGAAATAGGAAAACAATTTATTTATTATTGTATTATTAGAAATATTTTTTTATTTATTGTAAATACATACATATATGTAACTTATGCAATGTGGTTTAAAATTTTTCAAATACTATATACTGTGTCTATATATGTATATATATTTTTATATTTGAATAAAAACTTTTATTTTTTTTTAATTGAATAAAATTTATTTGAAATTTCTTGTTTGTTTGTAAATAAAAATCATAGTTGAAGTTAAAAATTCAGTAACATAAAAACTCAAAAAGTGAAAATTACAACTTATAAATGTTGAATATATTGGATTAGTGCATAAGTTCGTGCCCGATTCCGCTGAATGCCGTTCGAATCGCTGCAGAACAATTTGAATGGAAAAAAATTTAAAAATGTGGAAGACGTCAAAAATCACCTTGACACCTTTTTCAACGAGAAACCGCGCGATTTCTATGAATCAGGCATCCGCAGATTGGTTGAACTTTGGGAGTGGATTTCCAAACATGATGGCGAATACATAATTGATTAATAAAAGCGCTTTCTTCAAAAAATTTCAATTTTAGTTTGCACTTGAAATCGGGCAGGAACTTATGCACTCATCCAATATAACTGTTAACCAATTTGTAATAATCCAAAATGTAATTAATATGATAATTATAGTTAAAAACGTACTTTAAAAGTATAACAACTGATTTCAAAGCTAGATATAGCTTACTTTAATTCTCCACATGTTTTTTTTTTTGCGACATACAAAATTTTTTAATCAGTGCTAATAGATATATATTTCGTTAAAGCGAAAACGATTTAAAAGAAAAAATAGTTCCTCAATTCTCGGCATTCAATTACGTACAGTGGTGGCAGAGTAAATAGGGATAAGCTTTCCACTTATTTCAAGGGCCTAAAATAGTAATTCTCAGCATATGAATCACTAGCCATTTTATAACGGTAATAATAGAGCTCACAACTGTAAATTTTTTAAATTTTTTCTTGTTATCTACGGCTTCAAAAAATGCATTTTTTATCTCTTCTAAAAATATACAAGAACATGTCTTCACAATTTTGTGGCCAATTCGACATATACCAAAAGATAGAAAATTTTTAGTGGGCGAACGTCGAGCAGGTTCAAATGCTCGGTAAGAACTTTGTAGCGAATTTCCTCGGGTTTTCATCAAGTATTAGGAAATGGTAAAAATAATGCAATAATTCAAACGAAAATAGTGCAAATTGCGGACTGCTCCAAAGACATGGCATTTACTGCTCTTCAAAGCGTTGTAAAAAAATAAAGTATGGAAGAGAAAAACTTCATTTCGTTTCAACAATCATTTAAAATGTTCAACGACTTGAAAAAGAAAATTGAATGCTTCATGTCAGTCTAGTTAGATAGTTTAAAGGAGGGCTGGAAAAGTATTCTTCAAGTATAAGCCAAATACAGCTTAGCTTGGGTGCTTTTGTCGGATGAGCCAGAGAACGTTACGTCCTAAAGAACAAGTGTTCAACTCAATATTCACTGTGAAGACCAATCTACTGGAGGAGCCAACGTTGCCATTAAAATGGGACTTTATGCATGACAATCACGGCAGGAATGGTTTATGCAGCCAATCCTCCTCTACGGAGTGACGCCGAAAATCTTCGTTTCTTAACTCCTTATCTAAATCGGCCCTTAGGTCCATATAATAACCAGAGCTGAGAGCAAATTCCAGAAGCATTGCACAGCATTCTGAAGGAGTTATGTGCCGAATATGTGGCGTCCTTGAAGCAAAAATGTCAGAAGGTGCTTAAAATAAAAGGAAAAATATTTAGTTTTTAATATCAGTTTATTATTAGAATTCAGCACCACCATTTTTTTCTTGCCAATGGGATTTAATAATTCTAATTTTTTGCTTTCGGAAAAGATTAATGTTTATAATGCGGCAGGCTGAATGCCAAGCAAAAGATTGATATTTATTTAATTGTTCGCTTTCCTTATCCTCACAAGGAAGCCTACGAAGATGTGCCTATTGCATTTGATATTTAAACAGCATTTTGCAATTGTGCTAATCATTAGGCTTACTATTACCATAGAAACATGTAAATTAAATTTCGTTAAACGAATACCAAAGAATACGGTGAAGCCAGTCGTCCCTATTAATTTCGCCACCAGTGTATATGCATGCATAGAAGCAAAAGAATTTTGGTTCTAAAAATGTTTTCTACTTTTATTTTCTTTTCAAATATGACGATAACGGTTTTATATTTATTTGTTACATATATTTTTCTGTATATTTTACATAATGCAATTTGATTACCCGAAATGCAGTAATTGCAATGAGAGTTACCCTTCATCATTAATTTCAAAAAAGTTGATCGAGCAAGCAATTGAGGCCAATGTGGCAAAGGATTTTGTTGATTGGAATTCTCTTTAAGGCGTCCAGTTTCCAAAGCAAGTTTTATTACGGGAAAGTCAATTAGGCGCCAATGAACGCTACAAATCCGTAATGATGGATTATCAAAGCTGCGCACTTTACATGTTTTTAAACGATAAAATGCTACTGCACAAGCCGCTAATCAAGTGAGCACATGTCTACAAAGGATTACATGCATTTCACTCATACGACACACCACAGCTTAGTGGAAGTAAATATAATTTATGCGTGAAAAAGTACAATCAAGCTGATAATGATCAAAAACCGTCGCTCGGGTCTTCGAAATGGCCGCATAAATGAAGTAGGCTAAAATCAAAAATTTAAGGAGAAGGAATGCCAGATAGCAGAGTAGAACAAGCAAGCGTACGTTTGCGAGACACATTACAATTAGATTGAAATTGATTTTCATGTGTTGGTAGCAGCATAAAGTAGTATGTTTTGATAAAAAAAAAGTAGTTTTGAGACAACCAAAAATCATTATTTCCATGAAGAATTTGCCATACTATATAATATATTGTATATTTCAAACATAGCAGGTTCTTTAACTGACCTGAGTAGTTTTTTGCTGACAAGTTAACTCCTAAAGTGCGATAATATATTCAACTTGTAGTTTAGAAATCTCAAATAAGGTTAACGCAACAAGTAAATTTTCTTTCGATTTGTAAATGTAAGATCAATCATATGCAACATCAAAGCGTGTCTTGTTGCAATAGTTGCTGTGTCTTCAAACTCTAGGGGACTTATTTACTTATAAAAATCATATCGATTTTCACTACACCTTTTTATATGAATGTTTGAGGACCACACTTATCGAAAAGTGCATCCTTATCAACAGGGATATTGTTTTATTTAGTCATGGAAAGACCAAAAGGAGCAGCAAGCATCGATTGTGTATTAATATAAAATTCATAATTAATATAAAAAAATTCCGAAAATCTAAATGTAAACGAAAAGGAAAGAAATTTGCTCAAAAGAAGCATAAGCAAATCCAGGCGTTTTTCAAAAAGACAAAGTGGATTTTCATACGTTGTATAATTTGTATTGACAGTGTTCCGAGCGTGTGTATGACGGTGCCGTAAGCACATTATATTGGTTATAGTAACAATAATCATCATTACATTTTTTGTTCTACAACCACAAACTTTTGCATAAAGAGTTTGATGAAGCACTAGCAAAGTAAATAGTTGAATTCATATGGGGCTCGATGCTGCGTGTTAGCCAGAATGACTGCTGATGAGTGTTAATTATTCAACTCATGGAATTTTATATAGTAAATAATAACTGTTTAACTGTGCATTGTATGCACACAAGAAATCGAGTTGTTACGATAGTGGGAGGATTAATTATGTGTACGAGTATAAAGCTACATCGACTTAGCGATTGTAGTTTTGAGTCTACCCTTTTACATCTATTAGAGTAGATTTTTTTTACGTATTTTCTCCAACAGACTTCTACATTCAATAACTACGACTTGATCGTCGATACTATTCACACTGTCAATATCAATAATAGATTGCAATTCGATTTCATTATTCAGAAATTGCGTGAGCTCATCACTGAAGTCGGTTGCTGGCAGGCCTACGTGGAGAGACAAGTTAAAATTAATTTTAAGAAAGTGCATTTTTTTGACAAAAATCTTACCATAAATCAGACATAAATTGGTCTTGCATATACCGGTAGCGGTACCAGACGGATAGTGACGTATATCGTCACTAGTTAATGTTGCTTCGTTTGTGAAATCGATGTACGTCACTGTGAAATGGGTTTGGTCAGGTATATCAGTAACCTGCGCACGATACCACATATCCTCAAACTTTGCAATACAATATTCATTCAATCTGCAATGGGAAAGTTAAATAATTATTTTAAGATTTTTTAAATGCTAAGCCATTATCCACAGTCACTCTTCAACTGCTTACAAACCAATGACTTGATGGTTGATGGTTGTGATAACAACCTGAAGAAAAAGTTATATATTTTTTACACTTACTGTGGCTTATATGGCTTATCAGACACTTTGATTGATTCCAACTGTTTATGTACCGTCTGCAAGCAGGCTAAATCCTCCTTTGCAATGCAACCAATGTAACCGATATACAAAAATGAAACGTCAAGCACTACCGCTTTGAAGGGTGCACAGCCCACTTTAAAGTAGTAAGTTTCGTAGGGCTGTAAGTGTATTTTAAATTAATAATTAAACTAAAATGTATTAAAGTATTAAGATGACATGTTCGTTTTATTTAGATATAGTTGTTAAAAATTTACTTTTACTTACAGCTTCCATGGTTGGACGTTCTTCTGCTATGGCGATGTTTTTTACGCCTTTATCAATCTCCTCTTCGGTCACTTTCTGCTCTTCTTTTTTAGGTTGCTTCTGTGGTATTTTTATGTTAGAACTCACCATAGAATTTTGATCGTTTGCACTTATGGCATAAAATTGATCATCATGCTCTTCCTCCTCACCATTTACATTTCCCTCATCGAAGCTTTTTTCTTTATGATTGTTTACCATCGTTTCATCGGATTTAGCGCCCGGTTTACCTTTTTTCTGATTACTTCCTTGTACCCTTGCGCGTACACTGTCTCCCCAAATTTCTGCGTCTATCTCTTTGCAAAAATTTTCAATTTCCTCATTAAGGGATTTTTCTGTTTGCCAATGTAAAAGTTCTACATGATCCTCAATTCGATGATATTTTATTTTGAAATCCAAATCTTCATATGTAGCAAATTGTTTTACCATCGTTTCGTTTAAAACATAGTTGGTGACATTACTTAGCGGTATCAAACATGCATATTGTTTCAACAATATAATTTCATCAGTAATTTCACGTAAATCCTTAAGACGTCGTGATTCAACAATTCCACGATCAATAAAAAGTAAACGAATATTTTGGGAATTACGTGCCATTAACACTTCGACGCGATGCATTATGCCGTTATAAGGTGCAATGGCATAGCTGTGCACTTTGGGCATTTTCCCCAGAGGTTTAGCAATTTTACCATAAACATCAATTTTTCGTGCATTTAGCATACAATCATCGTCGATGGCTGGAGTTACTGCGCGTACATAACAACGGTTGGGTGTACGGAAACCTGTTAATTTAACGTGGCTATTGTTCTTTGGCATTTCAGCAACGGGCACGGTGGCAGTTGGCTCCTTCTTTTGCTGCACCTGATTAGTACCAACCTGCGGCACCTTAATAGAATTTGTTACAAAAGTTTGTTGCTGCTGTTGTTGCTGCCGACCATTCAAACTAAAGTCCGGCTGTTGAAAATTTTGAAAATTCTGTTTTGGAAGCGAATTGAATTGTCTGACTGTCAACAAAGGATTTTCAGATGGATATACTACATCACACGACAGTGCATTAGTAGGATTCACAAGCCTCCTATACAGGAAAATAAAAGCTTTATTAACCCAAAATTAACATGAGTTACGAGTATATAAAAACCTGAATATTTTTGATACATATTGAACAAAAAAAATTAAATTAAGCGATAATTTTTACTCGCTATTTCTATTTTTAGGCAAAATTTATGTATGTGTTAATGAATGCCTTTTCAAGTGTTGTGTTACAATAACTATAAAACGATCAAAAAAAATCATAGTGAACTTACAAACAAATATTAAATGTATGCGATTGAGACTTACGGAAGGGGGAAACATATATATCTATGGCTAGGCCAATCCACCTTCTGGCATTGTGGAGAACAGTAATAATCAGCACAACGCTCACAAACACATATTGCATGTTTCTTGCAGACAATGCACTGACCACTCTCTAAACTTGGGCCAACAGCATTGTTTACATCATTTACCGCATGAATTTGTGAGCCCTATAGATGAGAACATACATTTTAATATACTTTTATTTAATACTTCATATTCATATTCACTTACATTTAAAGTTGGTCGATTTCCTTTGTGGTGAAAATTATTTTGAAAATCTCCACCGGCGGGCTGTCCCGGCATGACTTTGTTCATTTCCACACGTCTGTTTCTTAAAGCCACAGCTCTGCAAACGCAATATACAGCTTCATTTTGGATATTAAAGTTTAACTTTATTAACTTAAATTACCTTCTATCCATGTTTCCCAAATAAAACAAATCAAATAGAAAATAGCGCACAAACAAAATCTTAAACAATTTTAAGTAATTAATTAATTAATTATTCTTGCGAAAAGGAAGAGTTGCATTAAGAATTGACAGAAGTGTAATAGAACAGTTAATGTACATGTGCCACATGGTTGCATCAAAGAACGTATATCCAAGAACGTATACGTTCATATACGTTCTTTGTTATTCATATACGTTCTTTGATTAAACGTTAATTACAAATTTTTGGAATTCCCGAATCCACCTGTTAATTTAGGCAACGAGTTACTAGTATATTACTCGTTTTAAAAGTAAAATCGAACACATAACCACAGTTCAATGTGTCTCCCATGAGTGGTTTCGGCTGTGGGCTGATCCGTAAGTCATTCAGGAGAAACCCTCTTTATATATCCCAATGCGGAATTCTCAAAACAGTTGACGGTTTTCAAAAACACTTTGGAGTTAATAAACCATTTTAGTCTCAATTCAGGCGCAATTGGAAACACGAAGTCACCGGAACCTATGTTAGACCAAAGAACGTCCAAACACCTAAGGCAAAGAGCCATGTTCGCTTTGAACAACTTAGGACTTGCAGGTGCAGATATTTCATCAATTTAGTTTTGTGGAAACTAACAGAAATGATCAAAATACTTAGACCTGTGTAGCCCCGTCAAAATATAGTCGCTTGTTTCCTAGCCTACAGTTTATACTAAGCCGCTTCCGAAAGGATGATGGTTTTTTGTGAGAAGCCTTTATTTCATGCCAGAAATACATGCGAAGAGCTGCCGAGGGGCGACCGGAATAAGAATGTTATTTGAATTTTTTTTTATTTTTCTATAATTTTCGCATGATTGTGAGAGCAGGACTCGAGCACTGCCCTCCGATTGCAGGACGCAGTGATAAAAACTCAGCTATCGTGGTCCCGCATGAAATCTGAAGCTCCTCATAAAAATTCCTCAGCCGTTCAGTGTCTGCTTAGAATAAACTGTAGGTCTCCCTGTTTGTGAGGAAAATATCAAGGAGCTCGGCCTATATTTTTTCACTCACAATTAAGCTCAAAATATGCTTTTGTATGTAAAAATTAAAAAAAAAAAAACATTTTTATTTTATCATTATTCTTATGAATATTCTAAATATTTAATTTTACAAATTACATGATTAACATAACCTTAAATGTTATGATTAAAATATCAACAAGTTTTAGGGGCTTTCATAAATATTACTTCTACATGCATACATATGTATATATGTATGTATATCTATAAGAGAAGATAATACGAAAACTAGATTGGTTATGTAAATAATTTATAAGTTGTTATATGTGTAATTTGTAATTTGTAATTAAATTGTATGTACCGTAAAGCTGAAATAACATTTATCTCTCACATAGTACCTTGATACGTAGTCATAACACTAGCCATGATGCTTCTTTCTTCTGTCTTATATAATAACTTAAACTACAAACATTGGAACATTAGCAACATACACATTTAGGAATGTATGTTTGTATGTGCAAAATAATTTTTTCAAATACAAAAGCTTGCACGCATTGATTTCTAAATCGAATTAAACTAAATTCTATTACAATTCGATTCGGTTTCTTTCGCTTTGGCCACAGCAGAGGTTGTGTTCCCTTCACTTTCCGAACTGGACTCCGATGGTACCTCTTCAACGCGATCAGATATCTTGTGTGTACTTGTCTCAGGCAGAGCAAGCGTCAGCAGACCGGCTACTAAGACGCAGCAACCGCAGAGTGTCGTTGGAATGTACCAGCCGAGTAAGCCCTGCGAAATACACATAATTGTTATTTAATTAAACTTTCAAGGTATAGAAAAAAAAAGAATTTCCGATTTCTTCACTCACCAACACGTCGACCACGTATGGTGCTGAAATGGAGCCGACATGCGCCCACGTTGAACAAGTGCCCAATGCAGAGCTTCGTATTTCGGTGGGATACAACTCGGCGGTGTAGAGATTAACAATGGAATATGTTGCACTAATGCCAAAGCGACCCAACATAGCAAACGAGATTATCCATAAAGTTTTCCCTAAAATTTCAATGAAAAAAAAACAGGGTATACTTAAAATAAAAGAGGTATGTTTAGTATAGCTCCGCTCACCTGTGGGCACTACTAACACCATTAGTAAGGCAATGCCGGTTAGTGTGAATAGTGTCATTGTAGTTGTACGTCGACCCGTAAAACGTAGGAATATCACTGGTACTAGATACGAAGGCAGATCAACCATGCCCGTTATGGCAACGTAGAGGTATCGACTGACCGACAAATTGGCTGCATTCAAAGCTGAAATGATACATTGAAACAAAATAAAAATTTTTTTGAATACTGAGGTGGATTATTAAAATTTCTTGACATTCATACCTGTTACATAGTAACTTAACGAGGTAACACAGTACATAAAATATGAAATGGTTATGAGACGGCGCATTTTCCATGTACCGAAGAGTTCATGAAATTGTTTCAGGGGACCTTCCTTCAATTTAATCCAAAGTGAGGGTACCGTTTCCGATTGTACCTCCTAAAGAAAAGAAAAATTTCACCGAATTTTGAATAAATCTAAATTTTATACTGGAAAAGTGTTTGATGGTATTTAGATGAGTAATTATAATTATTTATTTACAGGACTGTACTCGTATACACGACAGTCCTGTTCGGCGATTTGGGCAGTAACAAGAGTTACTTAGTTTTACTAAAACGTTTTCGGTTAGGTTAAAAGTTTGTAAAATTTGCACTAAGAGAGCACAATTTTGACATTTCGTGACTGCCTAATTCTTACTGACATTTCTCAACGCTCGGTGCTAGGTGGAAGTTTTACCGGCTTTTTGCCTCACCGAACGCGATTCATTAAAATTGGTAACTAATAGAAACTGAAGCAATAATGTGCTAAAATTATTCTTAAATTAAAACGACTAGTTTAAAAGGGTAAAGGTAAACAGACAAGCGATATTCGTTTCACTCGAACGAAGGCCCGTTCTAATTAGTTAAATTGAAGTTTTTTTATTTAATATCTATTTGATTATTTATTAATTTTTTTCTTTGCTTTTTTAATTATTATTCTTTATTTGAATCTATTTCGTTATTATTATTTTGTTATTTATTAATTAATTTATTTTTTTAAATTTAATTTAATATATTTTGGTTTTCAATGTAACTAAATTTATTTTCTGTTTTTTCTTTAATTTTATTTTATTTTATAATTTCATTTTCGATTTTCATTCATTTTTTTATTTCCAATTTTTTAGTTTATTTTACTTTTTTCAATTTAATTTAACTTACTTTACTTTTTTATTTTATCTTATGTTTTAACTCAAGTAAAGCATACTTTTTTCATCAATTTAATTTGTTACATTTTATTTTTGAACTTTAAATCAACTTTTTCTCTTTGATTTAAATGCTTTAATTGTATAGTTTTAATTTCGGTTTTAAAATATTTTTTAAATTTAATTTTAGTTCTGTTTGTTTTATTTTAAGTTTTTAATTTTTTTCTTTTTAGTTAATTAATTATATTATATTTTTGAAATCGAAATTAATTTATTTTCTCTCATTTATTTAATTTTATTACTTTTTTCATTTTTTTATTTTTTTTATATTTAGTTTCAATTGAATATAACATATTTTATTTCTTAAATTTTTATTTTAATTTTATTTTTAAATTTTATTTGCGGTATTTATTGTATTTATTGCATGCAATCTTATTTTGCTTTTTTATTTAATTTTTTTTAACTGTTTAGTTTATTTTACTTTATTTATTTTTTAATGTAACTAAATTTTTAAATTTTAATTTATTGTTTTCTTTTTTTATTTAATTTTAATTTTTATATTTTGTTTTAATCCACTTTTTTAGTTTTTATTTTTTTTCGTTTTATTTGATTTTATATATCCTTCTTAATATATTTTACTTTAAAATGTAAAATAATTTATTTTGCTTGTTTAATTTAACTGTTTTTCTAATTTTCAAATTATCTTGACTTAATTAAATTAATTACTTCTTTTTCTTTTCTTTAATTTGATTATTTTATTTCATTTTTTGAATATAAATCAATTAATTTTATAAGACTATTTGTTTGCTGTTTTAATCTACTTTTTTATTTGCTATTTTACTTATCTTTTTTTTAGGGATTTATTTAATTAATTTCTCTAATTTATTTTTTTAAACTGTTTAGTTTATTTAACTTTATTTATTTTTTAATATAACTTAGTTTTTAATTTTTGTTTTCTTTTTTTATTTAAGTTGATTTTGAAATTTTATATTCTGTTTTGATCTTCTGTTTATTTTTTATTTTGTTTTCGTTTTAATTGATTTTATATGTTCTTTAATTTAGTTTAATATATAATATTTAGTTTTTAAATGTAGAATAATTTATTTTGCTTGTTTATTTTAATTCATATTCTATTTTTTTAATTTTTTTTATTTTATTTATTTTTTTGGTTTCTTTAATTTGATTATTTTGTATTTTTTAAATTTTTTAATTTAATTTAATATATTTCATTTTTTTAATATAAATTAATTTATTTGCTCTCATCTATTTAATTTTATTAGACTATTTTTTTGCTGTTTTAATTTACTTTTTTATTTTCATTATTGCTTTAGTTTATTTTATTTTATTTCATTTATTTTATTTTGTTTCAATTGAATATAGCATATTTTATCACTTAAATTTAATTTAATATATCTTTTTTGTTTTATTAAAGTTGTTGTAATTTTATACATTTTTTCTATTTCAATCTCCATTTTCTTTTAAATTTTTTTTTATTATTTTATTTTATTTTTCTTTAATTTTTTAAACATAAATACATTTTTTCATTTTCTTAATTTTAAATAAATTTAAGTTATTTTTAACTTTTTTAAAGTTGTTGTAATTTTATACTTTTATTTACTATTTAAATCTCCATATTTATTTTCATATTTATTTTATTTTTTTTATTCTATTTTTCTTTAATTTTTTAAGCATAAATACATTTTTTCATTTTCTTTATTTTAAATACTTTTTAAGACCTTTTATATTTTTTGAAAAAAAAATTACAACAATAGTGTTTTTTCAATTTAATCCAATTAATGTTTTTCTATTTAAACAATTTTCTTTGCTTCATTCAATTTTATTTTATTTTGTGTTTAAGTTTACTCTTTTTTGTTCAATTTTATTTTTTTAATTCATTTTATTTGCTAATGTTTTTAGTTATTCAAATTTTTAATTATTTGTTTTATTTAAATATAATTTCATGATTTTTTTAGATTTTAATTTCATTTTTTTTATTCCACATTTATATTTATTATTTAATTATTTTTATTTAATTTAATTTCTTTATTTTATTACGTCCTCACTTATATACATATGTATGTATATATATGTTGTTTTTCAAAATCATATGAGACCGAAAAGAAAGTCACGAATGACGCCTAAAGCGGCTTTATGAAAATGCCGTGTGAAGGGTATACAAGAATAGCAATAAGTTAAGACGAATTTATGTACTCAGAGCTATGAATGATTTCCACGGAATGTACAAATCGTCTGTACTGCACTCCAGTTCAAAAGAATGGTGCTACAATGAAATTATAAAAAGACAACAAAATTATTTTTATTTATGGAAACTTACTGTTTTCTTATCGGTGATCGCTTCAACGGGCGCTCTTTGAATTTCATAATGGCACTTCTGCTTGAATAGAATTCTGTAGACTTGATCGTAACGTTTCATCGTTATAAGCCAACGTGGCGATTCATTCATCAAGCTGAATGTGGCAAAGTGTGAACGTACGAAGAAATATGTGTTGATAAGATGTACAACAAGAAGTAAGCAAAATCCGTATTTATAAAATTAAAAGAAAAAATTTTAAAATTTATTAAGAAAAAAAGCCATAGAATTTAATGAATTATGATAAAAAATTCTCCAATAAATTACAAAAAATAAAAAAACAACAAAGACAAACACACTTACTAGCAATTAGCGATTAGCAAAAGCGCCGGAATTGTGAGTGTCAGCTGAAGATAACGCCATTGCGGCACCAGGTACGCAGCAGCAGCTAACAAGATCATGCCAATCGGATAAGAGGCCGAGAAGGCAATTGACATCCACGAGCGATGCCGCAAGCAGATGTTTTCCACAACTGAAACGCAATCGAATGAATTTTTTTTTTTACATAAACTAAAGTGAAAGAGAAAACAAACAAAACAACTTCATTTACTCATGGCAAAAGCTGGATAGAAAAGACCAGAAGAGGCAGAACCCAAACCAAAGCGACCCACCAAGAAGAGCTCATACCACGGTGAGAATGTGCACAGCAGACTGGATACTAAAAAAAAAGCGGCGCCCAGCGTGAATGAAGCTTTGCGACCAAATCTATTTGTTAAAAAAAAAACAGTGTTAAATATATTTTAAATTTTTGAAACGTTCACTAAATTACTCACTTATCCGAAAAAATGCCAAAAGAAAAAGAACCGAAGAACTTTCCCAGCGATATGGCCACCTGTGCCGTAGTGCGCTGTAGCGCATTCTCGCACACTAAATCCCAATCTGCCACAAAAGTGGTGTCAGCGTCTGCGTAGGCGTACACGCCATGCGGGCGACAAGTTGTCTCTATTTTTGGTTGGTTCGACGCATAGTGGAACGCTTCTTCATAAGACATATTCGCCAGCTTCGCATAATCATACTGCCATATGGTGCAACCACCTGTATTGAGATTTTTCTGCGTTATGCTCCGCTGTTGTTCCTCTGTCCAATTGGTTGCCTGCAGATCGGACACAGCGCACCATTGATCTGCGGGCAGATGGCCCAAAAGTGTGTAGGACGAGACATGGAAGCCATTGAGTATGTTCGGTGTAACGCAGAGAAAAAATAGTGACCTGTAAAAATAGATTGATATTTTTTTGTATTTTTTTTTTCTATTCTTTTTTGGTTGGTTTCGCTGAACAAAATGTGTGGCAAAGCTTCGTCGGGTTAGTTGCGCTATTTGTATGTTTAACTGTATTTACTTTTTAATTACTTACAACCTAATTGAGATTTGTTTTGAGAATGATTGTCTGTGGCTTTAATTAGTTAAACGTCCGTTTATTTCCTCATTTAAGTCGATGTACGAGTATGTATTAGTACGTCTAACGAAGATTTCTCAATTAGTACCAATCTGTTTAGATATTTTATTATAGCGGTTATCTTAAAATAATCGAGAATATAATTTGAAATTATTAGCTTTGCTGCAGTCACGGTGCCGCCTGACTTGTTTTATGAACTATTATCGTTTTTAGTTTCAGAAATCTAAACGACTTCGATTTAATAATTTTTGTAAGAAATAAACTTCTTAAAATACACTGCTATGAGCACCGCCGCTTCAACAGTACCATTTAATTTTTCTTGACGCTAACGAGAGCCAGTTCTATTCATCGGAGTTAACCTGGATTTAATCCGGCTTTTCGGCGACCTGACACTGCTTAGATCATAAGTTGATTCTTATATATGTAAGTATATCATTGGGACAATATCTCGTAGCAGTTTGCTTAAAATCATTTTCATCATCAGTGCACGCGTTGAACCAACACCGGTCGAACGAATTATTTCTGCTGCGTTTGCCAAAGATTACTTCATTATTCCTCCCTCTCGGTTGGACGTAATCAGCGTTACGTGGCTCCTTGCTGCCAGCGCTCAACTGAGCCCGAAGCCTTTACTGCTGTTTGTCCTACACACCTACCCACTTTGTGTAACAGCCTCCAGACCTCCACGACCCAACGGATCCTTATTCCCAATTTTCCTTTACACCACCTCCTAATTTACCTTCACGGCCCAACGGATCATGATTACCAACTTTCCTTTACACCACCACCTCATTCACTTTACTGACGAGCGGTTATACACGGCTCATAAAGTAGCAACACTCTATCACACACGTATCACTCCCTCACACCACGTATTATGAACGTTTCTCCGAGACAGACCAGATTCTTACAGTTTAACTGTAACGGACTCCAAAGAAAGATCAACAAAATAAACGATTTTATGAGCCGAATGCATCCGCCGATAGGTGCGATTCAGAAAACAAAGCTGGGCGGTCAAACGTTCTATAATCCCTACCTACAACTTCAACGCCGTCTGGCAAAAATGTCCAGGTATGTGAGAAAACAGTTAATAGTTTTTTTCATCATGATAAGGTATCTACTCACATTTCAATATAACGAAGACCCAGCCTATATATTCGCTGGCATATCCAGCGTGTGAATTTTCCATTTTATAAAAATTAAGAGAACTTTTATGGGCCATCGTATTATTGCCAGAACTGAGGGCTATCTCAGAGACCGAGTTTGAGAAGTATTTTGAGGATCGGAAGAGGCGCTGGGACATGTGAATAACCTTTTCGAAAGCCTATATTGAAGGCGACAAAATCAATGAAAACCAATAATTGAATATTCGTATTAGGAAATCTTTGATTTCGTGGCTAAGCACGAGTGTATAAAATAAAATTTGATGCAAATCAAACAAAGAGTTCGGTGGCAAACAACTTTCGAAGGACTCTGAGGTAGAGGTATGAGGTATAGCACACAGTCGTTTTCACCAATGGCTATTCTTTTGTGCACAATTTTAGGGTTCGATTATTGAGATATTTGATTTCACTATTCGAATATTATACAATTCAAATAACTCAAGTATTCTAAAGTCATAGACTCAGACCAGGATCTATTGAGAAATTAATTATTACAAAAATCAAAAAAAAAAAGAACCTGTACAAGCCTGATTTTAAGATGTGATTAAGGTAATTATCGCCCAAATAGACCTTAAAACCCGAATGTGTATATTTCTAAATTTGGAGCGGTGTGATCGTATGACAACCGACTTCTTTTGGCCTCCAATTAATTAAATATTATATTTTCTTAAGGAAATAAACAATTTGATAAAAAAAAGAATTGAAATACTCAGATGTCCCGTGTGACATCGAAATTCGAACATTAGTTTTCAGCGAAGCGCAAGTGCAAAGTACAGAACACAAATTCTGTCTTCATAATGACTTACGGTTTAATAAAAAAAAACCTTTAAATTTGTTCCAACCGCCTGTTCAAAAATCACTACAAGATGACCTCTTAAATAAAAAAAAAAGTAAATAAAACTACAAAATAAAAATTAAAAAAAAAGAGAAAATCGCCTTGAAGAAATAAAAGCAAATCTACGCTGATTGAATTATTTTTCATATTCTAAAGATTCATTTTTAATTTGTACGCAGACAACTAGTTGTAGTAGATTTATAAATGTTGAAAGTCAGTTGTAACCAGAGGTTATCTGGATTTGCCTAACTTTGCGATTAATTAAGCCGTACTTTATGTCAAGTCACATACAATAGCGATAACTATTATATATAGTTTTTATGGGTAAAGATCAACTACATCTGTACATTGATATTTCGTCAATTGCGGTTGGATATTTCTTAGCAATCAGTCAATTAGCATAACTACTAAAAATTAGAACTTTTGTCGATTGACACAAATAAACGCATTAAAATATATTATACCGTACATAAACGTACATACATATGATCACAAGTTTGTATTTCCTTGCGCATATAAATATAACTATCTTCAACTTTAAATACGCAGGTCGACATATTTGTAATACGAAAATTACAAGTAAAAAAGTAACAAAAGAAAAATTCCATTAAATGCGTAAACAAATTATTTAATATTCAACGCAGCTGATCGCGACCGTCTGTGTGGCTGGCATGCAAATTGAAGTGAAAATAAATATGTTTACTAGCATTTAGATATGTAAATAAATCGGATATAAAAATCATAGCCTCGGCATGGCACACGTGAGTCACAAAGTAGACAGAGGCCGCACTTTTTTGACTTAATAAATATGTAAATTTTTATAATTTAATATATGTTTTCGTTTGAAATCCGCTTGCCGCTATTTCGAAAATTAAATAGGCAACAAATAGCTATAAACACTTGTACACATTTTCATGGATATAAATAATTTAATTTATAAATCGAAATATGCAAAATTTGTTTGGCGATCAGAATATTAAATATTTCCGATTCGATGAGCCTCAATTTTATTAAGTGTCAACCGTGTAGTATGCGATTTTAAATAACACTATCATTTGAAATATGTTTTAATATGATTTCGTTTATAATTTTTTTAGCATTTCATTATACAATTTCTTTGGTATTATAATTATAGCAAAATAAGGTGCTTTTGAGTTATAGTGATGATTTTTATAGACACTCTTTTGGGTAAGCAAAAGTCCTTGTAACGGTTCTTGTTATTTACATATTATTATAATATTTTTCTTGTATTTTAAAACAAGTAAATGTGTAGATTTTGTAGACTGAATTTTTGCAGACATTATTAAACGACCATCTACCATGGCGTATGAGCAACATCTATTAATAAAGATGTAATAAACAAAATAAGACCAAATATTTAGAATAAAATGAAATAATATAAACTAAAATATAATAAAACAAAATAAAATAATATAAAATTAGAAAAAAAAAAATAAAATAACATAAAATAAAATAAAATAAAATAAAATAAAATAAAATAAAATAAAATAAAATAAAATAAAATAAAATAAAATAAAATAAAATAAAATAAAATAAAATAAAATAAAATAAAATAAAATAAAATAAAATAAAATAAACTAATATAAACTAAAATAAAATAAAATAATGTAAAATAATATAAAAAAAAACTTTAAAAAATAAATTAAAATGAATTATATAAAATAGAGTAAAATAAATTTGAATAAAATAACATAAAACGAAGTAAAATAAAATAAAACAAAATAAAAGAAATATGGAATATGAAATGAAATGAGGAACGAGTTAATCCCAACCTTAATCTCTTTTCCTTCTGATATTTCGAAGTTTATATAGCATATTATTTACTTTCAAAATTTACAAATTTTATTGCATGAAAAATACTTTTTTTAAATTAATTTACATGTGCTGATAGGGCTCAATCTCAATCAGTTGCTTATGACTTTTCTGGTTTTAGCTATATTTTAAATTCAGCACGTTCGCTAAAAATTGTTAGGTACTTAAAAAAAAAGTATTTATTAATTACTCATTTATCCAAACAAGCAAGTTTTTTTATAAAAGCACAGGTATGCCAGTAAACAACAATAAATTTCGTTTACAAAATATCTATTGTTCGTCAATACACACGTCTGACATTGACAAATAAAACGTTTTTATTTTCGTTCCTGAAATGTAATATGTCCACTAACTAAGCCTTTTGTGGCTGATTGCAAAAATTTTTGCGGTTGGAAGGTTATGCCGATAATTATGTGATTGTAAACTTGATTGCCTCAATAAGACTAATTTATATGCAAATATGCACAAAAATTTTAATAAATTTTATTTTGCAAAAAAGAGAAGTAATTTCAAATTTGTAGAGTTTTTGTAAATGCTACTTGTAAAATATAATATGCATACATTATATCAATAAATAAAATAAATTAAAACTTATTTCATTAAAAAAAAAAATAATAATAATAAATAAAAATTAATATAAATAAAAAATGGCAAATCCTGGGGATTTGAAGATATACATACGTTCGATACGATATTCCTTAAAAAATACAAATAAAAAGTAATGCAAATAATTATTTACGAATTTAATTATTTTGGTACTAAAACGAACTACGGAATGTGAACGACCCTCAATGGAAAATTAAAATGAAACCGGAACAATGAATATTTCACATACAATATACATACTCGTACACATATGTAAACATGTGTGTGGAAGATTTAGTAAATAAACATTCAGCAATGCAAGCAAATAAATAGAATTTTGTCTATCCAAAAAAAAAAAAAAAAAATCATAGCAAATAATGATGTTGCAAACGATATTTTAA